TTTTAAATAAGCTCAAAATTAAGATTATAAAATGATAGAAAAAATTAACATCTCCACGGTGGTATTGGTACATTTCTCTTTTCTTCGTATTCAAAATTTTAGTTTTTTCTACATGTTTACGAATATTAAAAAATTTAATGTAACAATATTTATTTTCGCAAGATATACATTTGTTCGAATATTCGGTAATTATGTACAAAATTATCATAGCTCTTTAGTTATGATCTTTAATAACATGGACATTATATTTGTTTCTTTAGCATTTACCAATATATTCAAATTTTTACTTTTTACATGGTTATTTACATGATTATTCAAAATTATTTCATAAAGTCATATAAAATGTAGACGTCCGAACTCTTCAAAAATTATTTACACAAGCATTGTAAAAAGAAACTAAAGGAATATATATTTCGTACATGGATTTGGAAATACCGTCTTCTTATGCACGAAAAAAGCAATACTTCTATTCCCAACTGCGAAATACGTAATCCTCCAATTCTTTCTGACTATGGTCCCATTAGTGATTCGCAAAAGGTTCTGATATCTACTTTTTTCATGAAAATATTGTGCAAAAAAGCAATACTTTTATGTCGAATTGCACACTACATAATCAAACAGTTCCTTCTTCTAATATTGAGTGACATAAACATTGTATCTATTTTAAGCTGCGATTCGATATATTTCGAGCAACTACTAATTATCTAATTTTTGTTATTTTTATTATTTATGTACTGAGTACGTCACTCGAAGATTCGTCACTATAGCAAAAGTTTATTATATTCACGAAATCGGTTTAGTTTTTATAAATGTACAAACACATATTCTTTGAAGCATAATTTAAAGAATATTATCTTTCAGATTAATAACTATAATTTATAATTTTATAAGTTTAACTTATTGTGTTAAATCATAAATTTACAAATATATATATTTAAATTTACAAATTGTGTACATTTATATAAACACAAAACGAATATGCGATACATAAGTCAAAATACGCTAATGCCTTTATATGTTTCAAATCACTTGCCAAAGTCAAGATTGTCATTATAGCTGGCCATGAAATGCTACTTAAAAGTGTCGCTACCATCATTTCCAATTGTCAAACTCTATAAAGATAAACCTATATAAACATATATAAGATATCAGAAACAAATATTGATTACTTGATTTTTGTTGTTTTTATGTATTAAAAACACCACTCAAAGAATAAAATGTAATAATAAATATAATGTCATAACAATAATAATTAATAAAAAATATGAATGAAACTCACGTTTATTTTTCTTTTAGTCTGCGTGGCTTGTGGACGCTCCTGCTTGATCGTATGCTGTTCCTTGTTTCAATTCTTCTCTTCTTCTATTCCAATCCTCCTTATGTTGAATTGATACGTGATTTTTTAATTTGCCCGTATGCCAGTTAAATCCTACATCTTTTTTGCAAATCGTACATTTCATCAAATCTCCAAGTTGTTTCATGTATTTAAATCCCCAATAAATTTTACGGGAATACAGCTTTTTCATATAATTTATATGTATTTCATGATTGTCTATGAAGGATTTATCTAGCAAAATTTCATGACATACCATACATTCTATTTTACTTGCATTATCATCTATGAATCTCATACCTTTCCAGCCTATTTTTTTTTGTTTCGTCGTCTTCATATATTCTTCATAATTGTAAATTTCTATATGCTTGATTACGTGGTTTTCAATCGAGCGAGTGCCGATATATATATAATTCTTTTTACAAATCTCACATTTTGCTCGAAAATCCTCTTCAGCTTTTGTATAAAATTTATCCAACCACCGCAACCTTTTACATTGATATTTCCAACACTGTGCGTATCGTTCAAGTTTACTGCGTGGTACTTTTATATCATGTATTTTGAGATGTTTTAATAAATTGTTAGACGTAAACAGAAGTGTCATTTTTATGTCACAGAGCGTACATTTTCCGAAAAAATTAGTAACTTCCTCTGCGTCGATGTATTTCCAAACCCAACCTTGTGATTCATAGGGTTTTAGATCTTTCTTGTTCTTATGATCTTTCGATAAGTGATGTTTTAAGGAATAGTTTGACGTTTCTCCACTATGCGCTTTTTTACATACAATACATCTTGCTTTTCCTTTCTTTGTTAGATTAAAATATTTCCACATATCATGCTTACGTTGCATATCGCATTCCATTTTAAGTTCATCTTGATGCTTAACAGACATGTGTTCTCTAAACGCATCAACCTTCGCGTATTTAATATGACTTTCGCAACTTTTACATTTTACTTGAAAATTGTGGTTAGATTCCTTTTTTACACACACATAGTTTTCTTCTATCCAGGACAAATTTACAGTTTTTGATAACCAAGACATTGTGTCTGATCTGTACGATAGAACGCGTTTAACTGAAGACGATGCGAACATTATTTCGTCGAAAAGTGCCTGATGGAAGAGGTCGAGGAAAGAGACGTACAGTTTTTCTATTTAAACGTAAATATTGACAGCATTCAAACCTACCTAACAGTTATCAAGAGAGGCGGTAAGATCTAATGCGAATGTATCGTAATATAACAATTTCGTGAGCAAGCAAGAGGTTTGGGAAGGCGGGGGTTGGGGGGGAAAAACATTGCATCAAATCTGTAATACAGATAAATAATATTTTCTAAATAATGCAAAAGTTGTTCTTAACGGAATTTATAACTTTCAATTAATATTCTATTATCTATAAAAATGTCTATATCGAAGAAATGTGTGGTTTTTTAAATTTATTGATACTGCGACATATAACAAATAATGCATTTAATACACTTTGTGCGGAAATACAAATATTTCCTTTCCTATTTTATTCGCCTTATTTCTATTTTAAAAGTGCCACCATCGTTATCGCCACCATTTCCTTCATTTTTCTTCGCAATGTACTTTAAATGATCGGTGTGATTTTCATATTCTACCATTCTGTTGCTAATTACTTGATAATTATAATTTTAAATATCTTACATTTATAACTTTAGTGTTCATATTGAAATAGAGAAAATATTTGTAATAGTGTTCTAAATCTTCTAAAATTTATTGTCTTTTGATTGCTTGAATAAAAACATTTTGCCGTCTCATTAACGTGGAAAACATATAAATTAATAAAAAAGTATTAAATATAAATTTTTGTAATAAAAAAATGACAAGAATAGATTTTTATAATAAAATATAAGTACTTATTTGATTATAATTATTTCAATAACTTATACAAATTTGAAAAATAATTATTAAAAATAATATTTTAAAACAATATTTAAAACAATATTTAATCCAGTATTTAAAATAGAAAGTAAATAAAAAATAAATCCAAGACTAGGAGTTAAGTTTCAAGTGATCGGACAACAATTTAAATCTCAACATCAAATTTCAAACAGTTTGCATTTCACGGTAAAGTTTTTTATTCAAACAGAATTTACGTTAGATGTGGAATTAAAAAATTTTGCAATATGCGGCAATATAGTTATTACGACACGCACGGTAAAAAAATGAAAATAAGTGATTAGAAAAATTGGCTAAAAGTTGAACTAATTTTGAAAACTGTTATAAAGCAATCATATATCACTTCGATACTTCATGTTCATCCTGATAAAAATTAAACGTTTCGTTTTTTTATTTTTTAAAAAATCATAATAAATATTTTTATAATATAATTAAATATAAAACATGATTTATATATATATTTTTTTTAGAAAATATATTATAAATGTAACAATTATTATCACATGTCACATGTATCTGTGAGAAAATACAATCAACCTCAAATTACATTTAAATGATTACATGGATTTTACATGTGTCATTTGCACGTGAAAACTTATCTATCAAAACTTGAATTTATCACGCAAATAACAATAACATTAAATTTGTAAAAAGTTCTAGAAATTAATAAATAAACGTAACATTAAAGTAATACAATGATACAATTTCCTACTTGTAATACCTTAAATAAAACATTAATTTCATAGTTGAGAAATTTGTAAATAAAAATAAAATTAAAATGATAAAATGATACAATCTACTACTACATGCTTGAATTATTTTAGTGATAACATTAAATTCGTAATCGAAAAATTTTTAAATAAGCTCAAAATTAAGATTATAAAATGATAGAAAAAATTAACATCTCCACGGTGGTATTGGTACATTTCTCTTTTCTTCGTATTCAAAATTTTAGTTTTTTTCTACATGTTTACGAATATTAAAAAATTTAATGTAACAATATTTATTTTCGCAAGATATACATTTGTTCGAATATTCGGTAATTATGTACAAAATTATCATAGCTCTTTAGTTATGATCTTTAATAACATGGACATTATGTTTGTTTCTTTAGCATTTACCAATATATTCAAATTTTTACTTTTTGTATGATTATTTACATGATAATTCAAAATCATTTCATAAAGTCATATAAAACGTAGACGTCCAAACTCTTCAAAAATTATTTACCCAAGCATTGTAAAAAGGAAGTACTAGGAATATACATTTCGTACATGGATTTGGAAATACTGTCTTCTTATGCACAAAAAAGCAATACTTCTATTCCCAACTGCGAAATACGTAATCCTCCAATTCTTTTTTAATGTAGTCGTGTTAGTGATTTGCTAAGGGTTCTGATGTCTACTTTTTTCATGAAAATATTGTGCAAAAAAATAATACTTTTATGTCGGATTGCAAACTATATAATCAAACAGTTCCTTCTTGTAATATTGAGTGACGTAAACATTGTATCTTTTTAAGCTGCGATTCGATATATTTCGAGCAACTACTAATTATCTAATTTTTGTTATTTTTATTATGTATGTACTGAGTACGTCATTCGAAGATTCGTCTATAGCAAAAGTTTATTATATTCATGAAATCGGTTTAGTTTTATAAATGTACAAACACATATTCTTTGAAGCATAATTTAAAGAATATTATCTTTCAGATTAATAACTATAATTTATAATTTTATAAATTTAACTTATTGTGTTAAATCATAAATTTACAAATATATATATTTAAATTTACAAATTGTGTACATTTATATAAACACCAAACGGATATGCGATAAATAAGTCAAAATACGTTAATGTCTTTATATGTTTCAAATCACTTGCCAAAATCAAGATTGTCGTTATAGCTGGCCATCAGATGCTACTTAAAAATGCCGTTATCATTTCCAATATTCAAACTCCATGTAGCTGAATCTATATAAACATTTGTGTTATATCAAAAACAAACATTAATTACTTGATTTTTGTTGTTTTTATGTATTGAGAAAGTCAATCAAAGAACAAAATGTAATAATAAATATAATATAACAATAATAATTAATAAAAAATATGATTAAAACTCACGTTCATTTTTCTTTTAGCTTCCGTGGCTTGTCGACGGTCCAGCTTAATCGTCTGATGAGTATTCTCTCAACCGTAGTCGATGCATTTTGTTATATTTCTTTCTATGTTGAGTTACTATGTGATCTTTTAAACTGCTCTCGTGCCACACAACTTTTACTTTTTTTTCACAAATCGTACATTTTGTCAAATTTCCAAGTTGTTTCATGTATTTATATGTCCAATGAATTTGATAGGGGTATAGCTGTACCAGATCATGCTTTTTATGAGAGTTTATGAAGGATTTATTTGACAGAATTTCATGACATATCATACATTCTATTTCACGTGCATTATCTTCTATGAACCTCATACATTTCCAGCCTATTTTTCTTTCTTCCGTCGTCTTCATATAATTTTCATAAACGTAAATATCTTTATGCTTCCTTATGTGATTCTTAAACGATGTTATCTCGACATATGAATAATTTTGTTTACAAATCATACAAGTTGCTCGAAAATCCTCTTCAGCTTTTGTATAAAATACTTCAAACCACCATAATTCTGGCGATGTACTTCGAGATTTAAAAACCTGTTCGTTTCGTTCAGATGAGTCTATAAATTTTTCATGTTCAGATGTGAGATGCTGCTTTAACAAATGATACGTAAACGGAAGCCTCATTTTTCTGTCACAAAGCGTACATTTTCCATAAAAATTAGTAACTTTCTCTGCTTCGATGTATTTCCAAGCCCAACCTTGTGATTTATAGGGCTCTAGATTTTCGTTCTTATGCGTTTGTAAGTGACGTCTGAAGAAATCGTTTGACCGTTTTCCTTCCCACTGACTATTACATACAATACATCTTTTCTTTCCTTCGGTTGTTAGGTTATAATATTTCCAAACATCACTCGATTTTCTCTTTTCGTATTTACGTTCATATTTATGTTTCTCACGCATGTGTTTCTGAAACTTATCAATTTTTGCGTATTTAACATGTTCTCCGCACCTATTACATTTCACTTGAAAATTGTGCTTCTCTTCTGCGGATTCCTTTTTTGTATAGTTTATATCTATCCAAACGAGGTCTCCAGTTGTTAAATGCCAAGACATTGTGTCTGATCTGTACGGCAGAACGCGTTTAACTGAGGATGATGCGAACATTATTTCGTCGAAAAGTGCGTGATGGAAGTGGTCGAGGAAGGCGACGTACAGTTTTTCTATTTAAACGTAAATATTGACAGCGTTCAAACCTATCTAACAGTTATTAAGAGAGGCGATAGGATCTGATGCCAATGTATAGTAATATAACAATTTTGCGAGAAGGTGTGAGATGTAGAAGAGGGGGGGGGGGAGAGTAGAAGCATTATAGCAAATCTGTAATACAGATCAATAATATTTTTAAAATAATGTAGAATTTGTTCTTAGGGAAATTTTGTAACTTTCAATTAATATTCTATTATCTATTAAAATGTCTACATCGAAGAAATGAGTGGTTTTTTTAATTTGTTGATACTACGACATATAAAAAATAATGCATTTCATACACTTTTTGCAGAAATAGAAATATTTTCTTATCTATTTTATTCAACTCATTTCTACTTTAGATGCGCCATCATCGTTATCATCATTGCCTTGATTTTCCTTCGCAATACTACAAATTATCCGTGTGATTTTCATATTCTATCACTCTGTTGCTAATTACTTGATAACTATAATTTTAAATATCTTTTTTAAATTGAAACATTTTAGTATTTAGTATTCATATTGAAATAAAGTAAATATTTGTAATAGTGTTTCAAATCTTCTAAAATTTATTGTCTTTTGATTGCTGGAGTACAAAAACATTTTGTTGTCTCATTAACGAACACATAAATTAATAAAAAAATATTAAATATAAATTTTTGTAATAAAAAAGTGACAAGAATAAGTTTTATAATAAAATATAAATACTCATTTAATTATAATTATTTCAATAACTTATACAAAATAGAAAAATAATTATTAAAAATAATATTTTAAAACAATATTTAAAACAATATTTAATCCAGTATTTAAAATGGAAAGTGTATAAAAAATAAATTCAAGACTAGTAGTTAAGTGATCGGACAACAATTTGCATCTCAAGATCGAATCAGTTCGCATTTCATGGTAAAATTTCTTATTCGAACAGAATCTATGTAACAGAAATATGCAAATAACAATTGCATTCACAAACTTCTACAATAAAATTATTATGTTAGATTTTATATTGTGTAATGAAAAATTATTTTGTAATTTACAATGCTCTGCGCATTGCTCGGTACAATTATACACACACCTACTGATTATTTAGTTACATGTAAAATTAAAAATTTTGCAGTATGCGGCATTGACCCTGGTTATTATGACACGCACGGTAAAAGAATAAAAATAAGTGACCAGAAAAATCGGTTAAAAGTTGAACTAATATTCAGCACTGTTACAAAGCAAT